ATATTTAATACATCTACATATTTGCATAGTAACCCCTTTCTTATTTTGTTTGATAGGATAGATGGGCTAGGTGAAGATGCCAAGGTTTCACCTAGCTCATCTAAACAATGCACTATTGTTTCATATTTTAAAAAGTGCATATGTGCATGATAGCACATTTTTTATTCCATTATGCACGCGCGTGTGTGTGTATTTTTTTTTGGGGGAGGGGTGTGATGGTATAGGTGCGGACCGCTATGCGTAGTACCCCCTTTCTTATTTCATTTGGTGAGGGGTAGATGGACTTTGTGAAGATAACAAGGTTTTGTATTTAATCATTTGCATATTTATCTATCTAGTACCTTTGTATAAGCATTACTTCACGTCTTCCAAAATATACAACAAAAACCTTATGTAGTGGCACTTTTCTAGAGCTAGTTTTCAGTTTACCTTTAAAATTTGTCTAGGGACACTTTTAGTTAGAGGCATTGTATTGGCACATAAAAATTGCCTCGTATCTAAAGGCATTTTCTTGTGGTATTCTTACCTCTATAGAGGCATTTGTTTTAAGAGGTTAATATGTGCTAAATAACTAGCTATCAGCAACACATTACTCATATGAAACAAGTAGTCATACGAGGTTTAGATGGTTTGTACATTGAAGATAAAAGATAAGAATGAGGTTTGGATGGTTGGTACATTGAAGATAAGAATAAGAATCATTTTCTCAAGAGGTGTAGAGTTAGAGGATTGGCGGCATCACGCAATCATATATATGTCTCTCATTTTTAACAAAGGTTTGTTATGTTTGTTGCACAATTAAGTACTTCTAGCAAATGCCGCTACTTTCCTACGGAAATAAAAAGTGTATCTATGAAAATTGTGGCAAGGGAGAGCTCACACCAGCTATCTAAGAGAAGTTTTGGCAAGGGGGCCTCCTAGACGACATGTCCAAGGAGAAAAACGACGATGAGCACCATCGTTGTAGTCCATCGAGGCCTTAGGGAGAACCAAAACAGGGTTTTCATCCGGCAGCCCCACCAGAAGGAAAGAGACAACTCGACAACGCCCCTAAGAGCAAAAATGACGCCTGAAGCACGATCGTTGCCGGCACGGCAACAGTGGGCTAGGTTTACACCTACTGCCCACCACATGTTGATCCGTAGGTATTGCTCCATTGCTCCACTATCGGCCATCCTCCGTTAACCGCTATACCCTGGCCCCCTCCCCGCCGGCCAGCCTCCGCATGCTTCCATGTGAAAACATGGCACACATGCTGTCACCATCCACCGCCACGCCACCATGCCACCGCCACGCCGGCCTCTCGCGCCATCTCCCAAGATGGCCTCCCTGCCATCGCCCGCATTGACTTCCTGCGTCGCCGACCTTCTTACCGTTGCGTGTGCCATTGTCATCCTACTGCCGTCGCCGCCTCCCGGGCCACCATCCATGCCTGTGCCACGCTGGACCATGCCGCACGCACCTCCCGCTATCGACGCAGGGGAGGGAGCCGGATCTGGGCCCGGGGGATGCCAAATCCGTCCACACAAGCTGCTGCCCCCGTGCCATATATATTCCCTGTGTCCAGCGTCGCGTCGCTACGCCACTCCAACCACCATCGCCTCTATGTCCTCTTCCCCACTGCCACTCTGACCCGCTTCCGCTTCTCGCCGATTCCAACTCCCACGGCCATTGCACGCTGAATCCAGCCGCATGTGTAGCTTCCTTCGTCGCCGCTCGGACCACGTGTCGGCTCCTCACCGGATCCGAGCGAAGAGGGCTCATATCTACGCACCACTGCCGCCACCTCTCCGGGTGCCTCAGCGCCTGCAGCCGCTATGGCACCGTCGAGAGAGGGGGAAAAGGGCCCTGCCGCCACCAAGGTAGGGGGCGGCCGGAAAGGGGGGTGGCTGTGGTGGTTCTTCAGCACCGTCCGTGTCACCCTTGGCTTCGGGTGGGAGCGACGCGGACAGAGGAGAGAGACTTTTATTGGGCAAGGTAACATATATATATTATGAATATTAACTACGTTATTAAACAACCATGCCGTGAAAACGATAACTACTATTCAAAGTGTCTATATTCAACATAAGATTATTTAAACGGGAAGCAGGAACTTTAGAAAAGCTTGAACGCTGGCATGTCTTATGACAATGATCGATGAGATCATGAGATGATGCTTCACATGTAGTACCTGCACCACCAGCACTTCTTTGGCCTCAACTGCAAAGGAATGGATTGGAAAATTACATCAGATCAAAGAAAAACTATTCATATATCAAGAACTCATAATTATGTCATTGCTTAAAATTTGTCAAAATTTGAAACATGTGAGTATTAAATTATAGTTACAAAATTCTTGCATATCAGGGCATAGTGTTCACCAACTCTAATCAAGTAATGACAATGTCATTACTTTTTATGACAACTGTGCTAGCAAGTAATTATAACATAACTTTCACTTTCACTTTGGGAAACAGTTTTGGACACAACTCATCTAGTTGGAGCCAGGGTTAGCAATCTCGAAAAAAAAAATTGCCAGGGGGCGGCAAAAAAACCAAAATCTCGGAAATTTTGGAATTTGTTTGGCCAAATTTCGAATGAATTTGAATAAACATGGACCAAATTCACAAAAAATTGGGAAAACCCGAAAATTTCAGGCGAGATATGTGCTTACCGTTCCGGTAGTGGCCGAAATTACCGAAATTTCGTAAATTCAGAAATTCCATTCCGAAATTGCAAACACTGGTTGGAGCACACCTAAACTACAACACACTTTTACTTTCTTTATCTCGCTTTGTGCATAAAATTAACTTCGAATCGGTGTTACAGCCCTTAGGAATCCTTCCTATTTAAGCTGGTCACATTCTCTATTCTCTCCAAACTCTCGAGTTGGAACTAAACCTTGCCTCAGCTGCTGTTTTTGCCTACTGCCTGCTACCTGCTAGCTACTATTGCTGCTGCTGATTGCTTACACTGCTGCCGGCCTACAAAGCTGCTGCACGCTAGCTGCTTCTCCTTGTGCTTGCTTGCTCGTTCTTTTCAGTGGGAAATCTATTTCTACCTCTGTTTTTTAATTAATGACCAATTCACCATTTTCTGAATAAAAAATTACCCATCATTCGTTTCTTTTTATGTTTTTTTTTCTAAACCCAGTCTGATTGTTTTGGATGTCCTTTTCATGAGTACTGATTTTGACAATTTTTATATCGATCCTTACCACATGCAAAAGTTTGTCATGACTAAGTTTTGTCCTAGTCTAGTCTAGATGATATGGTGTATGATGTTTGGCTTGGCTTACAGAGACTATTGAAACCATAACCATAATGTTGCTTCCTCACTTACAATCTTTGTTTTCTACTGTTATAACTTATAATATATATATGTCCATAAGTTGTCATGAAATATTTTTTTATTGCATCGTAAAACATCAGATTAGCTTCCTTACTTTTGGGCAAATTGAGATATTGGCAAGGGCAACCCCTTGTAGCAACATCAAAGTTTTACGAATTTTAAAGAAGTATTGCATGAAGAAGCAATGGCGAGTTGAAGCTCTTGAGTTAGCAGTTCGTTTTTGTCGCCTGGATCGATCATATCAGATTCTGAGTCTCTGACTAAAAAGAACCTGTAACACCCATTAAAGGACTTAATTTCACCTTAGATTATAGTGTCGTTGATCTTGGAGAAGTTACAGACTTAATATTATTACTTTTTTCAGTCTCATGTAACAAATATATATGATGTATGCTAAAGCTACTAATAGTACTATGATGTATTTTTCTTTTCAGTTTCACTAGTGATGCACAGGTTTGGCTATGCTTTTCAGTTTCATATAGTAACAATTATGACGGAATTCTCTTTTCACTTTCACTAGTGATGCGCATATGAACAGCAAGGTTTGGCTTCCCTTCGCGGTCCTCTGAACCAGTTGGGTGGTCTGGAATCCGGACTCAGGAGAACCCACTCAGTTTAACTGTTAATCGAAGTGTGTGCAGCCATTTAGGCCTGGTTTAGTTTCTAACTTTTTCTTCAAACTTTCAACTTTTCCATTACATCAAAACTTTCCTAGACACACAAACTTCCAACTTTTCCGTCATATCGTTTTAATTTCAATCAAACTTCCAATTTTGACGTAAACTAAACACACCCTTAGCTTCATCAAGTATAAATAACTATTACCACGGGCATCGATCACATGACTATCTGTAACTGACTATTGGAGTAAATTAAAAAGATCTGGTATATTTCTATTTCACTCTCAGGACTCCAAAATGTATAACCATACATATACAAGATAGTAGATGTTGGAAGAGCTCGATCCAGTTTTCTTAATACATGTGGGATGGCAATCTTGCACCAGCCCATAGAAAGAATATTAAGAACAGCATGTGGTAGTACTTTTCTAAAGTTCTCCAAGTGTCTTGGAAGAAATCTTTTAGTTTCTTCACCTTCTGACCTCATCATACTTTTCTATTTGTAACCAAAATGTTTTCAATACTCTCACAAGTCACAACAACATGCAGACCGAGGTCGTAAGACATACTAGTATAAAACATGAGAATACATCTCTGGCCTATGCTCCAGCATATACGTAAAGAAGGATCATAAATAATGCATACTTGTATGGTTATACCATGAAAAATTGTGCCAACTATACAGATTATTCCAAATGGTGCAATATCTCAGAGAAACTGAGATAAAAACATTCTGGATCAACACAATCTGATCACATGTGCATATGTCTCACAGATTTATTGATGACAACACAGATTAATTTTTCCAAATGGTGCAATATCTCATAGAAACTAAGATAAAAACATTCTGGATCAACACAATCTGATCACATGTGCATATGTCTCACATAGATTTATTGATGACAACACAGATTATTCCAAATGGTGCAATATCTCAGAGAAACTAAATCATAAAAACATAATGGATCAACACAATCCGATCACATGTGCATATGTCTTACACAGATTATTCCAAATGTGCAATGTAAATTGCGATGTGCCCCCATCTTCAGAATCAGTCTAATGACAAATCAAATGGATCCGAGACAGAAAAATCATCGATCCTGGTAGATTCAAGATAATCAGACCAGTATTTGCTATCAAAATCAAATCGAGCATCCTGAGAAGCTTTATTATCCAGCTGCAGCCTCCTGCGTTGATTAGTCATCCATTTCTCATTCTGACGAGTGATGTCTTGGACACCAAATTTCATTACCTTAAGAACTTTTGCATTCAAAATGAAGAACTTGGCAAAGTTAACCACGGGCGTCTTCGCTTGATATCTTTTGAGCACTATACTCTTAAGATGGTGTTCCAGGCAGTGAACAGGTCCAGGGACATAATTGCGAAGCTCATTTTTTGCAGTACTTTGCAAAGTTATCTGGAAATGTCAAGAAACAATTTGTAAGTTAGGACGTATTACAGGGACAATACTGTCAGAATGGATTTCTTCTAACATCTATATTGATTGTAGTAGCCTTAACTAAGATAATGAAATGCCACAAAATTCTTTGGAGCAGTCCTGTACTCACTTTGATGTACAACTTCTCCAAGCAGGGAAAATATTTGAGGATGTTGACAACAGCAGCAAGGTTTGGACCAACAGACTGGAGAACCAAAATCTTCACAGTGGGCACTGACACGCTAACAGGAGGCATTTCCTGGGCAATACAAATTAAACAAAACAAACGTTAGCATCTACAATAAATAGAACAATAACTAGATCGAATAGGGCAATAGGCATCGCACTGAACTGTAGATCAAACCTCAAGTACTAAATACATTCAAATCGATGTTTTCATACAATTTTAAAATTGCTCACTCATGCAGTGGACAGATTGATGGCTAGTATATATATGCAAATGGAGCAGAAGATGAATGAATATATAAAAGGGCTAGCTTGCTGATACCTGAATAACCACAGTCCCAATCTCAAGTCTAGAGATGAAGCTGGGCAGGATGCCCAATATGTGCAGTCTAGGTGCACTGATTACCCGGATGCTTGGAGGGCCATCGTCTAGCAAAGTTGGCATCAATCTTTCGAGGAGGGGCGCATCCTCGACAACTACCTCTTGGAACACGACCTCCTGATTCAGGCCATGTGTGGTGCCTACGCATATGCTCCTCAGCGATGCAGACCTATGAAGGCGACGCAGCCCGATGGTGTAGTTGACATGGAGGCTCTCCAGTGTTGGACAGGCAGAAATCACGGCATGGAGAGCATCCTCCGAAGTGGCGACCGAATGGAGGTTGAGCTTCCGCAGCTTCGGGAAATGGAGTGGCTGATTGATCATGTCATCACGGAAGCAGCAGCTAGAGAAGCTTACCACCTCCAAGGTGGAGGAGAAGCGAAGCGCAGAGATTACCAGCGAGTAGGTCATGTCATTTGCCTGATCGGCCGGCGTGGTGTTGCCGGTGGCGAACCTGAAATCAAGGTGAGAGAGGTTGTTCTTCATCCCAGGTAACTTGAGCCAGTCCTCGAAGGTCGTGTTGCAGCACTCGAGGCAGTCGGAGATGAGGACCAGGCGATGAACAGGACCCCGGTGAGCAGCAAGGATACTTCCAGCGATGTCGATTCGCTTGTGTTCGTGCACGGAGAGCGCGTTCATGTCAAGGTTGAGTGAGGTGGAGCCCCAGAGCGGGAGCCATTGGCGGGAGATGGCCTGCGTGCGAGCCGCATCTCGGGTGTAAAGGAGGGAGACGATGGTACCAAGGATTTCTTCTGGGAGGCTGATGTTGTCAGTCCTAGAGGCTTCTTCTTCCTTGGGTTCCCCTAATCCAACAGGAAGGAGATCCAGGCATGAGTACTTCTCCTTCTTGGCTCCCGGTGCATGGTGGATCCCATGGCCAACCTTGAGTTCTTGTGATCTTCTCTTTCTTGGGCTTTTGGTGGATGAAGCATCCGCCATGCTCCGTAGATCTGGAAATAGAGAGGATATATTAGGGTGTATCATTACCTGATTTCATACGGGTTGGTCACAACATTTGGGGATTTTTCTAATTCTATTTGGGAGGCTTAGGATGGATAGACTTGGTGAAAGACAGCCAGGATTTCATATTTAATGCACCTTCCTATTTGCATAATAGCCCCTTATTCCATTTTGAGGGGATGGATGGAGTAGGTGAAGACTACCCGCGTTTCATATTTAATGTATTTGTATAATTGTCATTTTCTTATTTAATTTTGAAGGGCCGGGAAGATGGGATTGTTTTCATATTTAATGCACCTACATATTTTGAGTGGGGTTGATGGATTGGGTGAAAACTATCTAGGTTTCATAATTAATGCATCTATTTCAAGAGGTTCGGGGACGGATTTGGGTGAAGTCTGCAATAATGCCACATTTAATACATTTGTACATTTTCGTAAATGACACTTGCGTATTTCATTTGGTAGGGTAGATGGTCTTAGTGAAGGTGCCAAGGTTTCATATTTAATGCACATGCATATTTGCATAATAGCCTCTTTCTTATTCAGTTTTGAGAGGATGGTTGGTGTGGGTGAAAACTATAAAGGTTCCATATTTAATGCATTATATTTAATGTATTTCATAATATCTAGACATATCTCTATCTACATACATCTTTAGAACACACAGAAATACTTATATTTTAGAATAATTGAGTATCTATCTATATATCTACCTACCTACCTTCCTATCTATCTATCTATCTATCTATCTATGTTTTTTTCTCTTTTTGTTTATCAATAGTAATTGGGTATTTTTTATAGCTTCCATGTTAAAAAGTCCTATTTACTTATGTGATGTATCGTACTAAAATGGTAAGTATATTCATGTGATGTGTCCACAGAAAATAAATCGTCAAATTTAGGAATAAATAACTTAATCAACCATGGACATAGATATCCATGTAAGAGTAAATAAGACTACGTAGGAGCAAGTTGTATTCAGAGTCCTGGACATTCTTTACTTTTTTTTTCAGTCAACACGAATAGGTAGGGTATTCATATATTTCGGGTGCCTGAAAAAAATTTGTATCCAAGAAGTCCAAAATTGCAGTAGTACTGTATAATTCATATTATGGTATTCATATAATTCATTTTAGGACGCACAACACAATTTAATGTGATTCGATCCGAGCTCACACTTTGTTGATGCAAAATACGCCGTTCGCATAAAGTCCTGAGAGACCTACTTAGTTATAGTGCAGGTCTGCTAAATCAGGTTTAGGGTGGGCTAGTTATTTTGATAGATGCAAAGAGATTAGATCAAGGAACCGATCAGCCATAGGGACGATATAGTGTCGTATGCCCAAACAATGCCAATGGAATTTTGAATCAATGACTATAACCAATGAAATTTAGATATAGAAACAAGTTAAAAGGAACATCAGTTGAAACTTGGATGCAATATTATTGTAAATCATCTATCTTTATTAAAACCAATATTGATAGATCGAACCAAACCGAGAAGGTATAGGATTGAAGATAATAAAGTAGATAAACTAGTACTTACCATTCACTTCTATGGAATAGATAAACTAGTATCGGCTATAACAAGACAAAATATAATTAACAGGAAAATCCAATTATTAACTACAATCTTAATAGGTCGGACATAACTAAGATAGTATAAGATTGAAAACAATACAACAACAACTAGACAATTATATTAGATCTTGTAAATTAACCAATCCAGCAGATTAATTGATAATGTAATAAGTAGATAACTCATCAGCTAAACCTCCAATAAAACTATGAGCAGAGCGCCAGAGCCTACCAAATCGATCAAGTTTATTTAACAAATTACAAACTAGAAGATTGGACTTAACCAAGACAGTACTAGATATGTAATAAGTTTGATGAACTTAAGCATGCCGATAGATAATGTTGATTGATAGATAAGATCTAACTATACAACAAAGCATTCTAGTAAGAGCCAATATATCGGATAGGGAACGCAAGTAAAGGCTTAACTAGTATATTGGACTTAACCGAGAAAGTACTAATTCCACCGATACAAGCGAAGTTTACGAAACTTACTTTCTCGCTGGAGATCTAAACTGATGTGGCCCAAACTCGAAGAAAAAGAACTCGTCGAAACTAGAACTAGGATGGCGATGCGCCAAAAAAGTGAATATTGAACTGTTGTTCAATTATAACGACCCCGGGCACACATATTTATACCCTCGGGTTAGAACAAGTCCGCCTCAGATACGACTTGATCGGCTATCTTACAGAAAAAGGAAACTACCCATCAAGGCCACAAAGGAAGGAACAATTTACAAGCCGCTCTAACATCTCATCAATGAAGGGTAGCGGGAAATAATCCTTCCTAGTTTCTTTGTTGAGTTTTATGTAGTCAATGCACATCCTCCATCCCATAACGGCTCGTTGTGGTATCAACTCACTTTTAGAGTTTTTAACAACCGTCATGCCTCCCTTCTAGTAACATCTAGAAGAAGCTTTTTTGTGGGATGGCAAATCAGAAGATCGAAGTTAGGGAGTTCAAACACGTCGAAGTCTATGGTGGCTTCGACATTCTTGTGCCATAGAGGCACTCCATGTAAAGCCCAATAACCTTCTATGATAGGAACTCCGGAAGGTTTTGTTTGTTGGTGCCAATGGTTCATCCCCTAAGCAAGCTAATGCAAATTAAGGTTGTGAACATGATGTTAGCACCGACAGTGGGATTATAGAGAATATTCACCATGGCTTGTTTCACAAGACATTGAATAGTTAAAGGGGGGAATAATCCGAATGACTACGGGAGAAAGCTCCACCCCCTTAATAACTCATCGCTCATGATAGTAGTTAATTCTCTCACCGTCTCTTTGAGGAAATTTTCCTCGAGCAGCTCAAAGGGACTACCTGGGGCAGGTGGTCTCTTTTGACAGGAATAGTTTGAGGTGATTTCGTTGTCTTCAGAATGACCATCCTCAAACTCGATAGAGATTTCCGAAAGCTGAATTTCTTCTTCCTCCGGCTCCCGAGGTTTAGATGAGAGCTTAAAGGTTGAATCTTGGGATATAGAAGGTACAGGCTCTTATTCAACGGTTGAGGGCTCCTCATGCTTTAGCATGTTCATGTGTGACCAACAGAAGACATCTAAAGTTTCCATTGAAAATTGCAAACTCCCTCTGTAGGACGAGCAGTAATAACTAAGAACATGAGCTTAGGGATATTATTCTTACTATTGCATGAACGTAAGGGCCCATCCTCATATGGAAGCATGAAATACCTCTCTGATTTTCTAGCAACGTAGAACCATTTCTTATTATACATAAGGGAGTGGTTAATATGGACAAAATAGTGGAGAACCATCCTAATTAATCACTTATTGGCATTTGGATTCCCATTCAAAATGTTAATGAAAAGAGAACCAATGGGAGGTTGTTTATAAGTACAACCAGTGATTTATACACTATAGTTGTGTATCATAAGTGGTACCAGATGTGATATAATTATGTACTATATTTGGTATATGTGGGTACTAGGTATGATATACATGTGTACCAATGATGTAGGTACCAATTACATTTATGATGAATGATACATATGAATAGCAACGTGATACATTTATGTACTAGGTTGATATATGTGCACACAATTATCTATGCACTAATACAGCACCTAGACATCCATGAATTCGATGCCAAAGATGGCACCATATGGTACACTATGATACATCAAGCATTAATAGTAGTACTTGAATGTACTAGTATTGATACATACCCAAAACCAAAAATAATACATATACTAGGTATCAGCATTGATACCTACAAGTATATTGTCAAGCGTTGATACCTACAAGTATATTGTCAAGAACCAACGATCATATGTATGCCAATCAAACCAATGGTACGTTGAGATGACACACAAATATGTACCAGACATGATACATAGGTATCAACATCACAGGTGAAGAGTTCTAGTTGAGAAAGAACCTGGTGTGCATTGGTGCGGTGGCTTGTTGGGATGAAAACTCTGCCTCCCTTAGCCATTCGTCACTCATTATGGATGTTAGCTCCCGGACAATTTCTCTTAGGAACCCAAGTTCCATAGGATCGGGAGGTGGCAAAGGGACGAGTGGTTTCTTTTTACTGAAGTATTTTAGGGTGTTGCTGTAATCTTCGTAAAAACCATCCCTGAACAAAATTGCGGCCTGATCCAGAGTCTAAATTTCTTCATTCTCAACGGATAGCGGTTCGGGAACTTCTTCATCAATCAAGTTGGTGGAAGTGGAAGGTTCAGGTTGTGACTAGATTGTTGAAGGTTCCTCTATCTTGGACACGAATGCCTCCAGCTGGGGTTCATCGCATTGCGTCATGAAGGAAGTATTTTCTAGAATGCGGTCTAGAATTACTTTTCCTTCCGACGGCGTTTTGTGCATGAACGATCCTCCGGCGGTTATGTCCAGATAGCATACAGACTCCTTATCTAGACTACACTAAATTAGTGAATCTGGACCAGGCTACACCAATTGATTTGTTTTTAATCTGCTAGAAACTGAGGATCTCTACTCGAAGGGCAGTAATACGAGTAACTGGAAATAAGGCAAGGCATAATCTGTCTCGCAACTTTTCCCAACTACCGTTTACACATCCAACGAGGTGTACCATGAGCAGACTTGCTCAAAGTCCCTAGATGATGGTAGGGATTTTCTAGATCAAAACTAGAAAAAGAGTTTTCCCTAACCATACTAATTAATTTGGGGCGAATGTCATAGTCAGTTGTATAAATTGGGTCCGATGAAGGAGGTGGCTCATAGAATTCGCCCCTAGGAACAGACAGCTCGAAGAAAGGTTGCTCCATGGTCGAGAAGAATTTAAAAGGAATATTTCTCTGGATAGTAGGGGTGAAGGTAGAATAAAAAATGAAAAGAGATACGAGGATGAACTGGATTCGGAAATGATCAGTAACCGTTCCCCGGGAACGGCGCCAGAAATGATTGTAGGTAAATTTTGCGGTCACAGATAAAATCCGCAAGCACACGGATATACCGATGTAACACTTCCCCTACGGAGT